ATGACTGTTATTGACAAAAAACAGAGAATGTTATTACCTACTTCCAATTTGAACTTCATATTTAAACATATTTTGAGAACAGAGCTATATATTAAATCATACTACCAGACAAAGTTTACAAATACTTACTTTTACATGCTATATTGGTGTGTCTGTTCTGGGTGTTTGGTCTCAGGATGTGTTTGGTGATGAGGCTGAAACGGGTGCAATGAGAGAAACATCAGAGTCAGCAGATGGGACAGTTGCAAAGCGAAAGCGGGTTCCTCGTTTCGAGGAGGTGGAAGAGCCAGAGGTCATACCTGGACCTCCATCTGAGAGCCCTGGCATGCTCACCAAAATGCAGGTAGGAGTTAATTGCCTCAGTGACATGTATACGATTGTTGTTTTGAGTTTTATGATGGTAACCTTTCTGCATTTACAAACCTTTATTTCTGTATATCTGTAGATAAAACAGATGATGGAGGCAGCCACAAAGCAGATAGAAGAAAGGAAGAAACAACTGAGCTTTTCCTCTCCAGTCCCCACTTCACAGGTAATTAAAAAAACACTTTTCTGTTCATTATAAACTTTAAGCCCTCACTTACTGGAAATCATATTAGCTGTTTTAGGCAGTGCATTTAACATTTGCCCCTTCGAATTCTGCAGACACAAATGGAATCCCCTCCAGTCTCCCGGCTTCTCGGCCAGGCTGCTGCAGCTTCAGGCGGTGCCTCATCAATCGCCCCTTCCCAGGCTGCCAGCTTCATGAACGATGCTATCGAGAAGGCCCGCAAGGCTGCTGAGCTGCAGGCCCGCATCCAGTCCCAGTTAGCCATGAAACCTGGTATACTGGGTGCCATGGGGAACACTGGGCCTCACAATCTTGTAGCTCTAGCTAATCTACATGCTATGGGAATCGCCCCACCGTAAGTAGTGTCTCAGTATATGGGATTTTTATATCTATTGTTGACCTAGCATTTTGAAAACAGAAAGTGTTGTCTGTTTGTCTCTTTATAGAAAGGTAGAAATCAAGGAGGTGAACAAGCCAACACCTCTTATTCTGGACGACCACGGAAGAACTGTTGATGCCAGTGGCAAAGAGGTTGAACTAACACATCGCATGCCCACACTGAAAGGTATGTGTTCACCTGTCATACAGCATTACTAACCCAGCACACACACACTAGTTTCTATCTTGTTTTATGGTTCTTCCACTAATTTTGTTTGTCTGTCTCTTTGTTCAGCAAACATTAGGGCAGTGAAGAGGGAGCAGTTCCGTCAGCAGCTAAAGGAGAAGCCTGGAGACGACTTGGAGTCCACATCCTACTTTGACCAGCGTGTGACCATTACACCAGCTCAGCGCACTCGCAGGGGCTTCAAGTTCCACGACCAGGGGCGCTTTGAGAAGATTGCTCAGAGAATAAGAACTAAGGTGGCGATTGAATCTATGTCTTGTGTCCACATTAGTGTTTATTTGGATGAAGTCTAAACATGATAAAAAGCAACTTTACCCATGTCTTCCCTGCATTGATTTTGACCATTAGGCCCAGTTGGAAAGGTTGCAGTGTGAGATTGCCCAGGCAGCAAAGAAGACGGGAATTCAAGCATCTACCAAGCTGGCACTGATTGCCCCCAAGAAGGAGATTGGAGAATGGGAGGTGCCTAACATTGAGTGGTGGGATTCCTTCATCCTACCCTCCAACGTGGACATGTAAGAAACTACAGCAGCTCCAACACTTAGTACTTTAGAGCCATCCAGATACCTAGATAATGTCATCCCCATCTCTCTTATTTATCTTTTTTTTTCTTTCTCAGTCTCTGAGTTTGCATTACACATTTGTTCAAAATACCTAAAACTTAAAATAAACTTGGCATGACGTTACGTACAAATGTTGGACTGTTTTCAGAATTTGTACAATCCATTAACTCTAACTAAGAGAATGTTTTCCCTTTCATTTCATGAAGAACACCTGCCACAAAGTTTGAAGACTTTGAGCTCTTCGGTGTGACCAATCTGGTAGAACATCCTGCGCAAATTAGCCCCCCAGGTTAGTGTGTGGAAGGTAAAAGTCATCGCACTGTTACAGGTGCTCCAAAAGTATGTGTGTCTTTAACCAAGTGAGAGATACCAGTCTGTGGTGAAGTGTATACAGGAACTTGTTTATAACATTGTAGGTGTTGTTTGTTATTGATATAACCAATTTACCCAATTAAATTGACAGATGCGCCAACTTGTTTTTGCAGCTCAGACCTCGATCCAGAAGTCTTTCCCTCTGTGGAATAGTTTCTAACAGATGAGATCCATTGTCCGATGGAGTCCAAATATTCCCTGATTTATTGCTATTTTTCTGTTGTTTCCCTGACCAGTGCATGTCCTCCTCTTTATCACAGTCGACACAGATAAGCCAGTAACGCTTGGTGTTTACCTGACAAAGAAAGAACAGAAGAAACTGAGAAGACAGACGAGAAGAGAGGGGCAAAAAGAAGTCCAAGAGAAGGTTCGTCTGGGACTGATGCCGCCGCCAGAACCTAAAGGTAGCCAACCAAAAAAATACAAGTTACAAAGTACTACTTAAAATATGAGACAGAGTGTAACTAATGTTTCTTTCTTTATCTCAGTACGCATCTCAAACTTGATGAGAGTGCTGGGGACAGAGGCGGTTCAGGACCCCACAAAGGTAGAGGCCCACGTCAGAGCGCAGATGGCCAAGAGGCAAAAGTTAGTAACAGTAAATCTCAACTCTGCTTTCCCCCCTCACTCATACACTGTTCTAAATTTTCTCTTTGACAATGCATGATAAGTTGTGAACAATAAAATATTTCTTGGAGGTTTTTGACTCTTTCCCTTTCTTCTTTGCAGGGCTCATGAGGAGGCAAATGCAGCTCGCAAGCTCACAGCGGAGCAGAGGAAAGAGAAGAAAGTGAAAAAGTTAAAAGAAGACCTCACAGATGGTGTTCACATTGCAGTTTACAGGTGTGGATCTGTGAGGAGAGGAGAGAACACGTACTGTAGTTCAAATATTATGTGTGTGTTGGTGTCATGGAAGTGTGTCAACTCTAAGCACCTTACCCCCCCCCCTTTTGTACAGGATCCGTAACCTGCAAAATCCTGCTAAGAAGTTTAAAGTGGAGGCCAATGCCAACCAGCTGTACCTGACGGGCACAGTCGTTCTGCACAGAGATGTTAACCTTGTTGTGGTGGAGGGAGGTAAGAGATAAAGCTAACAGTTGATTGTGTCATTTCAAACGGGCCGAGGCTCTGCAAGGTTTTCTTTCTTGATACCCTTGAGAAATAAAAAAGACAGGGATTACCAATGTCAGATATAAATGTAAATGTTTTCCTACTTTAGGCCCTAAATCTCAGAAAAAGTTCAAGAAGCTGATGATGCACAGAATCAAATGGGTGGAACACAACAGTAAAAGAGATGGTAAGAGTTACTTTCCCTATAAGCATTACAATAGTCGTCATGGCTTTGTGCTTGTTTCAGGGACACTAAACTTATTTTATTTATTTTTTTCTATAAGATCCAGATGGTGATGATGATACAAAAAGGAACAACAAGTGCTGGTTGATTTGGGAGGTAAGAGTTCACACATTGTACTTTCTAGTGCAGGCTGTTGTTTTGTAACTCTATTGTAATAAAAATGAATCTGCACCGTTTTTATCTGTGGTCTCATGCGATGTCTAATGATTCTGCTCGGTTCTCCAGGGCACGGCTAAAGAGCGTAGTTTTGGTGATATGAAGTTCAAGCAGTGCCCAACAGAGAGCATGGCCAGAGAACACTTCAAAAAACACGGCACAGAACACTACTGGGATCTAGCTCTCAGCCAAAGTGTGTTGGACTGCACAGATGACTGAAACGTGCTAGAAAAGAAGTCAGCACACCTTTTACGAAACCCCAAGACCCACAGCCTCACCAGCCAGTCAGCACTCACTGACCGGCTGCTTTCAACTGGTGGCAGACAGACTTCATCAAGGGACGTGATGAAAAAGGACAAACAATAAACCTTTTGTGGAAGAATATGTAACACATCAGGGTGTATATGTGTATGTATGCCTGCATCAGTGCTCATCTCTTTGGTGATAGGCTATTCTAACAGACGTTGTATGCCATTGAATGCTCCTGACAGATTGCACTGTGCGATTTAAATCACGTACTTAAGGCGTACTTTAGTACTGCGAGAATTAGTGTCATAATAGGCTGTCATTTTTCTGATGAAAACCCCCATGTACACACTGATAATCCATGTTTGAGTCACATCAGCGAATGACTGCACTGGGATTGTGCGAACACATTTATAGTTAAACCTGAAAGGATTCCCAGGTCATGTTACAAATTAAAAATAAAACGTACCCTCCAATCTTTTTTTTTTTTTGCATTAGAGAAACAAAGCTCTATTTGACACATGTAGCTACCGTATGTTTTGTTTTGTTACTCCACAGACGCAGCCTTAAATAAACAACAAACTTCTTACCATTTGTCCGCTAATTTGAATCCACTGCACTGATAAATAGATTTTTTTGACGAGAAAATTCAAACTTTAATATTTACAGTCTGTGTTTTACAACAATTTCCCAGTTTGGGATCAATAATAAATCAATGAAGTTATTCTATTTAATACAGATCCAATGTCAAGATTTGCAGGCAGCAGTAGATTAGTCTGCAGGGACCAAAACATGGAAGATGGTCTGGTAGCTGGAGAGGTGCCTTTGAGCAAAGTATCGAAGCTCCCAGTGAAGCAGCCCCTCTTCACATCTCTCCAATAATGTTGTTTGTGCATGTGTGTATTCCGGGCCTGTATGTGTGAGAAGCATGCATCTCAACATGCAATAACATAGATGGGCAGCACGAGATACCACACATCATTATTTATGTTTTTTTTTTTTGTTGCTGTATTTTGAAGTTGTGACCTATAGCTGTGTGAGGAAAAACTTGTATTATTGAAATGTAGAAAAACAAGGTGGGTGGGTGGCGGGGGGGAGGAGGGGGCGTGTTTCTAGTCGTCTACATCACTGTTTTTGCTCGGTCTCTCGTCCGCACAAGCAGCAGACGATCACCGGAGCTGGAAAGATGGCGGCTGGTTCAGGGGCTGCAAGTGGCCACGGAGCCCGCAGCTCCAATGCGGCTCTTGAAGCGTCTTTGGACCGGAGGTTTCAAGGAGTATCCAACACTATGGAGTCAATACAGGGACTATCAACCTGGTGCATTGAAAACAAAAAGCACCACGGCCTCATTGTTCGCCACTGGATGAAGTGGCTCAAGAAATGTGAGTTAACGTTACCTAACCCGCTAGCTAGCTCGCGTTAGCTAACTCAAGATGCATGTCTGTGTTGACGGGATGAACTTGCAAACCTGAAGCAGGGGCTTGCCCTGTTAACCCCTAATGTAGCGTGAGTGCAAGACAATCCTGTGCAAAAAAAGCAATGCTGGATAATTCCTAAAGTGGTGTTCTGATGGTGTGCGACTTTTAGAAAAGGCTGGCGTTGTTGCCACTGCTTGAAATTAGCCGCGTATAGCAGCTAGGCTAATGCTAACTCTGCGCTGCTCATGACGCTCATAGTGTTTACAGCTGGGCCTCCCGAGGATCACGCTGTGGACGACACATTTAGCTATTTAGCACTTAACAACCGTGCACTTAAATGCTTATCTCAGTGCACGGTCTATTAATAGTATTTACACGGTATTTGTGAGGGTTTCAGTGTTCCCTCGTTACCGTCGTACATGAGTAATTAATGATGATGCAGAGGTAACATGTGTGGATAAAATGCTTGAGCATGGTTAAGGTTACTTCTTTTAGATAAGCTTCTTCGAGCGAGTATAAAGTGAATCATAGTGTCAGACCACATTATAGATTAATTATGCACCACTAAGCGCTAAACTGTCTTTGCAATGGGTTTACTTTCTTCTGATCAATCTTTGCACAAGTACTAGTAGTTTTAACTTGACTATTTGAAAGAGGTCAATCAGCATGCTTTATACACCTTGAAAATGTAGCTCTATACACTCTATAAACATTATTTTGTACACGCAAGTTTGCAATTAATTGGTTGGTGGCCTTTGGTTTTGTTTTGTGAAATTGTAAACAAAACAGAAGTTGTTGTTTTTTTTATCTATCATGTGTTAAGCCTCACCAAACCCTGGTTATTACTTTTTCTCCCTAAACTTTCCAAGTTAGCCCACATTACTTTGTTTTATCTGAGACTTCACAGCTGGTCTGACTACTATTGATAGACAGTCACATTGGCAACATAATACATAAATGTTATACAGATATTGCACCATACTAATCTGACATAATCAGATGTCAACACATTTACTCTGTATGATTTAGGAGGTATTGGCAGTCCTGCATGTCCATTTAAATACTGCAATGAGGTCCACTCCACTCTTGGTGTGTTACTTACAATAACACATCAGCCTCTGCAGTGTCTATTTCATGACTATACAATTATCCATTATCGATCATTTGAAAGAGTTTGTTTATTTAGTGAACACGGCGGTAACACCATTTCACTTCTCTTGTATTCTAGCTTCTGTTAAGGCAAGATTCTCTCTGTCAACATTGATTTTTGTCTTCACTTTTTTGTGTGGATCATTTTTCTTTTTTGAGTCTGCTTACTTCATTACAATAGTAAAGTTGATGCCATTCTGAACTTAATGTTGTTCTCATTCTACCTCACAAATATAGTATGCCTTCAACTGTCATACATCAATTTTAGAGAAATGGTCCCTGAAATCTGGAGTGGTGAATGGTTCAGTAAATTTACACATTTTTGTCAATTTCATCTTAGTGTGAGAAGAACAAAAGGACCCAAAGACCACATATTTTTAAGTTGTCTCTCTATATATAAATATAATATTTTTTGGCTGATGAAGTGAAATAGTGTGCAGATAACAGTTTTGGATGTTTCCAATATCTTGCATGCATAATGCATGACTTGGAGGTTTATATTAGTCGTTATTGGGTTAGTCATAAACTAACTGTACGTTTGAGTCTTTTTCCGATAATTATTTTTTGCAGTAATCCCTCCCAGAATAGATCTTACTTTCTTTTCAGGGGGGATTTACTTTTTTACTTTAGCAAGGACTTGAGTCACAGTGATTAAAGGAGATATTTTTCATTTTGATTGACTCATCATTGTACTGGGTTTCCAAAAGTAAATGGACATCGTTTGTTAGATACTTTAATTGCTGTGAGATACTATTTGTTGAAAAAGTATTTTTGAAGTAAGGTTTAGCAGATGTTTCGGTTTGCATGTGGTTGCATTTTGTAACATGACGCTAATTCTCATATTAGAGATTCTTATATGTGGAAGCCAATGTGTGCACATAAAAAAAACATGTTCATATGAACATTTACATTAAAAGTAAATTACAACAACAGTTCATTTATTATGCAAACTTAATCCAAGTTAAACATATAGTTTATAAATGTAAATGAGCCACTCTCTTGCTCATGATGCTGCTCCAACAACTTAAAAAAACATTGTGGTCAAATGTTACTGTACCCTGAGAACATCTTGCAGAGCTAGCTGATCTCGTCTGCTTCTCAGTCAAATGAGATGACTCATCATTAGTGAGTTACACGTTCAATGCTGAGTGTCTCTGGCAAAACATGAGGTCGCCGCTTTTTAATCCCCTTGCATTACGACACATGGAGCAATTCATTATAAAAGCTTTTGCTGAGATGGGCAACTGTTGTGTGCGGGTTCGGGCCATTGTTTTCTTACAGAGAACAGTGACATTTGACCAACCGTTCGTCTACCAATCATCATTTAATGTTGGCTGTGAGCTATGACATTACAACGTGGAAGTGGCATTGCATCGGGAAAAGTTAGTCAGGTGTAAAACATGGTAAACACCAGAGTTCAAAGCTTCAGCTAATTTGCAATGCAATATCCTAGATGGGCATTTTAAAGAACAAGAAAAGTACAAACCACTGGACCAATCATTCTCCAAAGTGGATAGCAACTTTGTTCTAGTTCTTTAATACCCTGCAGACATCCAGTTTGCATTCATTTAAATATGGTATGCTCTGCTGTGTCTGTTCTTTATTAGATTTTTAAGATAGGGATAATAACTTCATGTTTAATAATACTGATGACATGTTGGGTTGATAAGATCCTCTGTGATAAAAAGGCTTTTCAGACATTTATTGAATATGTTCTGTTTTATATGCAAGAGTTGCACCAGGGTAAACTTTGGTGTCAGTCAGTGTTCTGTGAATGAATTAGTTTAATTGATCAGGGCGATGCAGTGTTCATGACATGGGATTAAAACATGCTCCAGTGTTCGTTGGAAAAAGTGCTTCACAAAAGACATCAAAAGCATCAAGACAAAGGGGGAAAGAAATATTGAAATATAACATTAAAAATCAATAAAACAATTAACAATCACAGAGAAGATTAAATATCAAAATATATATATATTATATATTTTTTTATATATAAAATAGAAAGATCCAAAATAAATACAGAAATATGACTTTAAGCAGAAAAAAGACAATAAAGTACAAAATGTATAAATAACCTCCAATTAGTAATAGTAATTTTATCTGACGTGCTGTGTGACTGTTTGAAAGTGAAAAGTTGAAAAGTGTTTTTTATCGTTATATTTTGCTTCAGTGTTAAGTTGTGAATATATGTCGTGTGTTTGAAGCTTAGCTAATCTTAACCACATTTAATTAACTTTTTGACTCAATTTGACAGGATTGATTGATCAATTGGATTTATACAAGAAATATATATTTTTAAATACACCAAACAGATAATACACATTATGATTTTTTCCCTTAAGTGGGAAAATTTTGAATTGAATAATAATTTCCCATTTTTATGCTGATCAATGTAAATCTGATACCATCTCACAGTCCTGTTGTTGGACATCCTCCTCAGGTTTTGTTGTTGTAAAAAGTAACATTTTAATTTTGTATTACTATTTGACCTTTTTAAAGGGACAAATTTATTCATGCAGGAAGATATGAAAGTTTTTCAGATCATACTAATAAGTCAATTGTTATATACTGTCAAAACTTGTGAAAGGAAACAAGTGGATACTTCTGCCAGCTAAGCCGCTCTTTCTGGCATGAGTCAGTCAGTAAATTCTCAAAACTGTCTGAATTGTTTTAAGGGATATGCAAATGCAAATACTTCAAATGAAGTTAGTTCTGCATCGTCTCTGAATATATTTAATGAATAACCTCATCCAAGTCACAAACACATGGAGCAATGTTTTGTTTTAAAGCTGGTTAGCTGAGTGTGTTTGCCTCTGCATGAGAGAGTTGACTCTTGTTAGTGCTCTGTTGTCATTTCAGCTTTTAAAATATTGAAAGGATTGGAGCTCGTGTCGTCTTCAGATACTTACCGTTAAACTTCAAATAACATACCATCCCAATTTACTTTGACTACTTTACACATTTAAATATTAATTCTGGTGTATGTTACAATTTAAATATTCTCCATCTTTGCTGAGCACCATTTTTGTTTGAAAATGATCAAAGGCCCATCTTGTAATGACGCCTGTGCCAAATAAAGGCGGCATCATTTCATTGACTTTTCATTGGTCTAGTTTTACAGTAGATACGTTTTCTGGTAATTTAAAAAAATAATCATATCCGCCAAGGTTCTACTGAGGTTTCTCTTTTTTTGTGGATTTTAAGATTTAATTTTATCTGTATCTGATTTGACAGTTTTCAATGGCATTTGACAGCTAAATGTGAAATGAAGGAAGGTAAATCAATGTATGAACAGAAAACATGTTTGTAGTCGATGCTTAAAGGATGTGTTTGATGAGCGTAAATCTGAACTGCTTAGTTATACGTATGTATTCTCTAGTTGTTTCACTGCACACATCTTTCATTTTTTCCCTTTTGTGTTCCTTTATCTTTTATCTTTTTTTTTTGATTGAGGTATCATGAATACAGTTTATTTAAGCACAGCAATGATTCCACAACGGCAGGGAGGTTTTTCTCTCGTGTTTTTTCATAGGGTTCACTCAAACTGTGCTGTGCCCAAGCACGCTTCACCCCTGAAGTCCAGTTTGATTGACTGACCCTGGCACGCTTTTAAGAGGTGTGCTTCGGCCTGGAGCTGTGAGTGCAGGCCAGCGGGGGAATGGGGGAGGGGGACAGAGTACTTCAGATGCTAACTGCAGCCAAAATGCGACACAATGTTTCATTGTGGAAAATACTGTGTGTGTTAATGAAATACAGTTGTTAAATCCAGAAATTTAAACATCTATTTTAGGAAGTATTTTGTCAGGTGACAATTGAAACAGAACTCTGAATGTGCATTGATCTGTTCAGTGTCCAGGAGTTCATTAGTTCAGAAGAGTAAAGGATTTAGGATGAAGGAAAGCTTAAACTGAAGAACTGATGTTAATGGATGATATTTAATGATGTGGTAGATGTAATCTGATCAGGATATTTGAATGAAGCATACACAAGTTAGTTTCATGACATGGTTTTCTCATAAGCATTGCACTAAGACAATTTCGTACTAATGCCTACACCCAATATGAAATATTTAGACATTTTCTATGTTTTTATATGAATAAATAAATTACAAATGTTTAAAAGGCATGTCAGTGATATAGGTCTGTGTGCTATTGGACTACCAATATTCAATACCCTGACATTTTCACACTTTTGGCTGACGTTGATATTAATACCCATGTATGCACAGACTGTTTTTTACATATTGTTACGAAGATCATGAAGCCTCCTCTGTAGTGGAATGGAGAACATTTTATAATCCACATGACAAGCGATTTTACCTTCTGTCCCACTCTTCATCTACACTAACGAAAATAACCTCTTCAACTTCAGTTATATGTAAACACATATGATGAGAATAAAACGAAAGTGAAAGCACACTATACTCTTATAACACATTTTAAAGTGCATACTGCCACCTACTGTATCAGAATAGGATTGGTCGTCTATGGATTACATTCAGTGTACAGTAAACAAAACTGAATCTGTCAGATTGGCAGAAATATTCCTTTCTTGTTCAAACCATTTATCCAATATCCAAAACATGCAACAATAACCCTCAGTTTGTTAGTTTTGTGTTTAAATCAATGTGAAAAGTGTGAAGTAGTTCAGTAAATATGATTGCATCACTGTTTTATGCTGATTTATGGAACTATACTATAATAATTATCAGCTACAATCAGAGGATTAAAATGCTCATGTTAAGGTTGTAACTAATCTCAAAAACACAAATGTTGACGTTGGAGAGTTTTATTCTCATTGGTCAGCATCATCCACACCAAGTTTGAAAAACACAGGATCAGTTGTTTTCTAAGTAAGATGTTTGCATGCTAGATCAGTTTCTTATATTCTGTATAAAAAAATCTAACCTTCTCGTCCTGTCTTCCTTTTTTTTTTCCAGCTGACAACAATCACCGTTTGAATCTCTTCTACCTTGCAAATGATGTGATCCAGAACTGCAAAAGAAAGAATGCCGTTGTGTTTCGTTCGGCCTTCGCAGAAGCCCTTCCCAACGCCGCTCAGCTCATTAAGTGAGTACGCAGAGTTCTAGGAGTGCTGAGCAAACATTTAACATGTTTTTTTTTATCTCAATAGTTGTTCTGCCTTTCTGCTGACATTGTAACGTGCCATTTCTTACGTTGCAGGGATGTGAAGGTCCGTAAGTCAGTGGAAAGGATCTTTGTGATTTGGGAGGAGAGGAGCGTGTACCCTGAGGAGGTCATTGCTCAGTTCAGAACATGCTTGAACAAAAAGGATAAAGAGCGAGAGAGGCAGAAGGAAAAGGAAAGGGAGAGGGAGAGAGAGAAAGAAAAAGAGAAAATAAAGGAGAAGGAAAAAGAAAAGGAGACTCCTCCTGCGACGGGTGAGTTTGGTAACTTTTAAGGAGTATATGTTTATAAATGATTCGTTATACTTCTAATTTTAATTGTGTGTTATTGTCTTTTTATTGTCCAGCCCTGGTCAACAAAGCTGCCCTCAAGTCCAAGATTGTAGAAGAGTTCACAGTAAGTCTTTGTGATTATACATTAAACATTATTTTTATTATAAGAGCTGTTATTTTTTCATCGTCTTAATTGATATGCTCTCTGTTTTCAACAGCCCAACGCCCTCATTGAGCAGTTGTCCACATATAAGCGGGTGGTTGCAGAAGAGGAGTTCAGGGAGAAGCAGCTGTCTGCTCTTAGGGTGGACGTCTGCAGCACAGAGGCTCTGAAGAGACTTAAAGGTCAGAGGTCACTCACTAAATTTCCTCCTTCTCATAAACTTGGATTTTCCAAAACCTGGAAAATAGTCGACCAATTTTCCAGTTATGAAAAAACTAGAGATAAAGCTAAATGTGCTGGAAAATAGTTCAAGCATTCTCCTTATTTCATATCAGAGTTCCCAAAACAGATGGCATTGTCCCCTGAAATGTTTATATTATGTTCAGGATCATATCAAATAATAGTGGTAGTTTATGGACAGTAATATTAAGAATAGGCTACATGCCGTAAAAACACCAAAGTCACATGACACAGTAGCACCTGCAGACTGGATGATATTAAGGGAGTGTTACAACTGTGTCAAACAATCATTATTTTTATAGTGCCAATTCAAAACAAAAGTTATCTCGAGACGCTTTACAAAAGAGAATATGTAACCGTAGTGGCCCAGACTTTAAATTATTTAAGATAAAATATGTCCCTGCTGTCTGCTTCCTGTGTTTTTTCCTGAGGTGTATAGATAAGTGTAGTTGTATCTATTCTTGTTTTAAACTGTTGAAAATGTTAAACTGGTTAGCATGCAGGGCTCAGCATAGACATGAAGGAGCCATCCAGGATATTTCTATTTCACTATTCTATCATACACACTAATATTTATAATATCTCATATATTTTTTTGAGTTTGCTTACCAAATTCTTATCAGTTAGGGAATTATTGCAAAGGAGCATTAGGGCTCTCTGTGGTCTGGTCACTTTGTTAAGTGGGCAACTTTGGCTGTAGGTAGCCCAGTGGCTCCACAACAGTACAGGGTTCATTTAAAATTAGTGAGACACAGGTAATAGGAGGGGGGTCAGGGGTCGCTCCCTCAGGACATTTTGAGGTTCCTTACCGTAATTCCTTACATGCTTGTAAATATTTATGCAACACTTTGTCGTTGAAATTCCAGTATGTAACAGGAAAACTCTACATTATGAAATAATAAAGAACAAAAATCAATGCTACTTCCTGAATTAAGCTCACGCTGTTAATTATTGAATCTGTTATTTTCTTAAATGATTATTTCAAAACAGAGTAGTTTAATATCAAACTCAAAACTCATGAGAGAATTATGTTCACTGCTTTAACACTTTCAGAGTCACTAAACTAACATAAAAGCCAAACACAAAATAACCGAGATTTCACCACAATAATGAGATTAATTTAATGTTTTATGTTGCATGAAAGATTTTTAATTTGAATTTAGTTTATTTGTAGTAGTCCCACTACTTGAGGCGATGGTGGTACCTCTCCTAGAAAGAAACTTTAACAATTCTGTAATTGAATGAGGTACAAATCTCACATTAAATCAAATTAATGTACCTTGTTCAAAAGTCAAATCCATACAAAACAAAAGCTAATTTGTTCATTCCCACGGATAAAGCAAAAATAACAAATAAAGCCTTGGGATCCTCCCCCCTGGAAATTTTGAGCATTAAACACTATAATTCTTGTATTCTCGTGTATTGTTCTTGCACCAATATTAAATTTATTTTTCCCTTATTTGTTTATTTGTTGGTCATGTTCTCCTTTACAGAATTATTTTCATCTTTTTTTTTTTTTAAAGTTTGTTCACAATAAATATAAACGCCTTTTTTAACACCATCACTATTTGTAAATTAGTTTGGAATTAGTTATTTATAGATGAACATTTGTTGTCATCATTATAACTTCTCATATTTTGAGTAAGGCAGGCTCAGGATACTGGCTCTTTATTTTATACATAGCCCAGTTTTTTATTGCATGCTCTCAAGTTTAAAACAATAGACAGTTTGACGTTACAGATGTCATATTCTAAATACAAAAACATCACAAATCAAACATTGTACAGCCCAAATACGGTTTTTGAATTTAATTATGTTGTAATTGTCCTTAATGCCAATTCATGATATGTAAATTTAACAGATACATTTATTGAGAAATGTGAACTGAAATTCACATTGTCATTGATTTGTTGTATTGAACAACATGAAAACATTTTAATTTTTTTTTTTTTTTTTTTTTCTGTTTTTCAACCGTCTCCTCCTCTCCCAGACAAAGCAGGAGGGAACAAGTTTGCAAAGGACTTTGAGGATGGAAGTTTGAAGTTGCAGGAGTTTGTCAGCTTCCTTGACAAAGAGATGAAAACAGGGCCTCCCCTGCTGGAAGCTTTGGGAAATGCAGACATTTTCTACGAGATGCAGTATAAGGAGGTTAAGATTGTGGCCAATGTGAGTGTTAAGTTGAATATTATCCTTATTTTTCATGACTACAAAAACATCTGGAAAAATCTAAAGATATGCAGGTTAACTTTGTGTTTATTTGTTACTTATGTTACTTGGCACTGCTCCTGTTTTACTTCAAAATACTGTTAATTTACTTTAAAGTTATTCTTCTTTTGATAACTGTGGATCAGGTAATTACATATTATTTTCACATTATCTGTCATATAATTCTGATTCTTTCTGCCAATCTGCTCAGGCGTACAATGCATTCGCCAACCGTGTGGCCAGTCTTAAAAGGAAATTGGATTCCCTCAAGTCGACTCTACCTGGACCTGAGGACTCTCCCATCCCCTCCCCCTCCGAAGACGCCCCATCTCCCACTGGCTCTGATTCCCCATTCCTCGGACTGGGGCCTAGCAGAGCACAGGTGGATCCAGAGCTGGATGGCAAGGCCATGGATGATGGAGAACTACCAAGTGACAACAGAGACATGGAGGACATGGACATGTCTGATGAAGAGGCTGATGCTGTCACAGCAGGGGGTTAGTGGCTACAGAGGGTCTCAATGTTTGTTATAGATCCATTTTAGGCTGTCCAGCTGTGTTGTCATGTCGATTTGAAAATGTATCAGCTCTTTGAATTATCTTACTAGCAGGTGAGAAGAACGACAAGGGGAATGCTGCTGTTGCCAAGGCTACAAAGTCAGACGCAGCATTAAAATCTCCGACCACACCGACTAAAGCTTCGAAGGCCAACAATATTGCTGCTGCCACGGCAACTCCAGTGACTCCTACCTCTGCTCCAGCAACCCCTCTGGGAGTCAATCTGGAGAAGGTGGATCTTGGAAAGATCAGCTCCATTCTTAGCTCGCTCACTTCTGCCATGAAAAATACAGGTATGTTCAGGGGGCGGGGCCCAATAGATCTAGAACCCAATGCTCAACATGCCAGACAGAAGTCTTTGATAAAGAAGTCATTGTGAGAAAGAAATTTGACATTTACCTTAACCCTGGAATACCCCCCCCCACCCCCCAGCACCATGAGATATATTTTAATATTGACCATTATACATAAGATTGGAGCATTGAACGCTTAAGTCATATCTGTTTCCCAGTTTTGTTTTGTTTTTCTATCTAGGTAAAAAGCATCTGTATGCTCTATACGAGTTGCACATTTGAGGATTTGAACTAACCTTGATATTGTCACTGTAAAATATTAAAAATTAAACTGAAAAAAGAATATGAATGTATTACATCTTGGTACAAATAATGTATTAATTAAGTGTATGTCAATAGCTGAAACTTAAATTTCTTTTGACAAAAAAATGATTTGGGTTTGTATATTTCAAATAATATTTTGGTTTATATGATCATAGAAATATTGATCTGAGAGACCTTAATGGGTGTGTAAAGCACAATAAAAGTTAGGGGTCAAGTTTTAGGGGGGATTTAAACCATCTGAGTTTTCAGAACCTCTCTTTAACCAAACCCTCTCTATCTTAAATTTTTTCTTAGCAGCCAGCCCTGCTCGGCCGTCTCCTGCAACACCCACCACTCCCTCTGGCCAGTCAGTGACGCCCTCCAGCCCTGCACTGGCCAGCATTCTGTCACGAGTGGACATCACACCTGAAGGCATTCTCAATGCTCTGTCCAAAACAAACACGCCTGGTAAAATGCACATGTTTTACATTTTAAACACCATTTATTCAGCATTACTGACCTTTTCTGTTTGTTAAGTTGTAATCTGTTTTTCCTCCTGTTTCTGTCATGGTGCAGGTTTATCCTCCCTTCTGCAAAGTGTGACAAACACTGCCTCGGCTCCTCCCACCCGAACCTCCCCAGAATCATCAGCAGTAAAAACTCTGCTCAGCCCAACCACCCCCAAACTTAAACCCAGCCCAGGGAACAGCTTCAAACGAGACACACCAGGCAGAACCAGAGATTGGGGGAAAGATAGACAGCTGTCCCCTCCTCCTCCACCCCCTCCTCGCCCCTCTGTCCCCTCTGTCTCTCCCCCCAGTCTAGAATCAAAAATCAATAGTTTCTTGCAGGGTAATCCAGGCTTTAGTCTCGCGCTGGGTGATGTCAGTCCTGATGGGGTTGATGGAACCCCGGTGAGAGACGAGGCTGCCTGTACCCCCACCCAGGATGAGATCATGGACACGCCTGGGAGTGTGTCAGAATCTCTAGGGTCATCTGGAGGTCATACCCTCTCACCGACGGCGTACCGTGGCGAACCCTGGGACGCTGTGATCACCCCTTCAGGAAGCAACAGCAACGGGGACTTTGTTAGCTCCTCCTCCTCATCTCGGTACGGAGCCGGGAAGAAGAGCGGATCAAAATTAGATGAAGTGAAAAAGCCGGTCTCCTCTTCTCCTAGTTATGACATAAAGGGTAAAAAAGATGGACAGCACAGCCAGCTAAGGATCATGGGAAACAACAGAGGGATTGGAGAAAGGAGGCTCTCTGCAGGCTCTCGTAAAACGAGCACCGGCTCAGACGACAGTGGTCTGAGTGGAAAGCGAGAGGACAAAGGAAAAGGCCTAGGCTCTCCTGGCCCTGGTGAGAAGGAAGGCCAGTATCATCGTATCGAGACACTAGTCTCACCCTGCACTGAAGGGGCACCTATCCAGACTCTAGGCTACTCCAACCGCCCACTCGCTGGAGAGCGCATCAAGACAGTTGAGAGCATCCGCATGTTTGGCAGAGGGTCTCGGAGAGGGGGAGGAGCCGTCAGTCGGCCAGGGGGAGCAATGTGGTACGAGGAGGAGGAATACATGGAAGCTCAGCCTCCCTCACCCCACGCTGCCCCCCCGCCTCTCAATATTGTCCAGGGTGGCGCCGAGGACATGACCCCCAACATGCCGCTTCCTCCACCACATCTCCTTCTTGCACATCTCCACCCTCCTCCGTCCCATCCTCATTCTCATCCTCCTCCACCTGCTCAGTTCCAAATGCCCTTCCATGCAGATAACATGCAGAATCCTCCTCCATCCCTCCTCCACCAGCATCCTCCTCCCGCATCCCCTTTCTTCAACGCTCCTCCACCTATTCCCCGACCCCCTCCGCCTCCCATGCTGCAGCGCATATCCCCTCCACCTATCCATCCCGCTGTTCCCTCTGTTGTCATGGTTGGGGGAGTGTTGGTCCCTGTCGATCGCTCCCTAACTCTTCCTCTCCCTGTCAGACCTGAAGGTGCAGAGCGAGGCGGGCTGGGGCCCAGAGGAGGCAAATTAGGCCCTCAGCCCCTCATGTCATCACTGCTGGGTGAGCCGCCTAAGCTGCTCCGCCCTGGCACAGTTAAAGAGCCTTATGCCAACCGACATGCCCCCCCTCCCCTCCGACTAGGTAACCCTGGTGTTCCTCTCCCATTACTGGGCAGAGTGAAGGAGCCTTTAAATCTACCTCTTCCTCCACCTTCCCCCTCCCCCACATCCTCCACAACCTCTCCCTCCACGCCAAACTCCCCTGCGGTCGATACAGCCCCTTCTCTCCACAAGCCCCCTGCTAGTCCTCCAGCTATGTCCCGCAATCAAACCCCTAACCCCGTTCCCCTCCTCAACCTTCCCACTACCCGACCCCCAATGCTTTCAGTCCCCATCCCACAGAGACCTCTGCTGCGAGGCCGAAACCCCCCTCAGCATCGTTACCAAGATCACCCCATAGGGGGGTTTCGCAGGGGCAAGCGGGCCGGTCCTCCCTTTACAGGTGGTCCCTTCCATGCACAGAAGAGACCTTTTCTACCCCCACGCTACTGAAGCGGTCGTCTATGACAGGCTGAACGAGAAGTTCAAACAACAGCGCTGAAGTGCAGAATGTGTGTTAGCCCTGCTGGTATGAACCCAGATATCTTTACTCTGTCAAATAGCTTGAATTAAAACTACCTTAGGCTGTGTGTAAATAGCTTATTAAAACGTCATGCTACAGCTAGCCAGCCAGCCAGTCATCCTACACTGTACAGTACAGCTGTGAGGTTATCAGTTACATAGTACAGTGTTATGTAACAAACCTCAGTCTATCTCTTTTTTTTTTTTCCTTCTCTGCATACACAGTAGATTAGTGTCATCAGGTCTCAATAAAGTTACATCATCAGAAGACAGTAACAGCAGAAATGAAACAATATTTTATTAAGAGTTTGCCGACTTTTAATGAGTGATTGTTGGGATTCCTAACTTTAAAGAGAGGCATAGAAAATAAAAGGAGCAGTTTGATATTTTAGGAAATGATTTTGTTTAGTTTCTTAATGCGAGTAACAGAAGATCAATAGAACCCTGATATCTTTACCCTAAATATCCAACACAAACCAGAGCTGAATAGCTTCACTTAACATAAAGACTGTAAATAGAAAAACAAGTCTGCAAAAGGTTAAAATACAAACCTTACACTTCTCAACATCATTAATTAATAATATAATTTTCACAGCTTTATTTCATACAAAAGTGAAAGTATTGAAATAACACAAGAAGTTTTAGAAGGCTGCAATGACTTATTGAGTCTAAGCTGTTGGCTGGATATCATCACAGCAGCAACGTGATCCTGGATCACCGCTTGCAGCTTCAGGTTTCTTTTGTTACATGTTTAGAGATCCAGGCTAGATGTCTGCCCTATTTCCAGTGTTTATGCTAAGCTAATCCCCAAAATCAAATTTTAAAGACCTATAAAGCCAATAATGGTATTTCCCAAAACATCAAACTATACCTGTAAAAACAAAAAAATAATGTTATCGTAAAGTAGGTTCCAAAATAAGCTCTTCTTCCATGAGTGTCTGGGTGTGTGCCGTGTGTCCTACAATTGTATTTCACATTTTCAAGTGACGAGATTTGTGTTGCAGCTTAGGTTAACACTTGTTTTTATTTCCAGAATACCTGCTGTAAATAGTGTTCTTCTCTTGCTCAACCTTTCCACCTTCTATCTCTTCCACAGTATATCTCTTTAGCTTGTAAATATAAAAAACTGAGATGATGCAGCGTTTTCTCTTCAAGCTCTTGTGTCTGTTAATGAGGACTTTGATCCGCACTCACGCACCCCATATTTACTGTGATCGAGGCCTTGGATAAGCTTTAGCCCCAGGAGCATTTCTCTGCAGTTTCTGTCGCGCCTGCAGAAGAAGCGGGAGAAGATAATTGTATATTTTTATTTTCAACATAAATGTTTTCCTGTGCGCACTTCAAGTTAGACTGAGTCATGAAGATACTCAGTAGTGGGTGGCGGGTGGGGGGGGAATATTCAAGCTTGACCTACGCTCACACTAGGCTTCAAAGTGTACTGACTTGAATAAAATCCAGAGTTTCAATTCAACTGGGGGGGAGGTATTTTATTTGGTCATTATTTATGACTTGGATTGCGCTGTTGTAATTTATTTGCGCTGTTCAGTTTTTTTATTTCTGCCTTTTTTTTCATAGAAATAGTTTTCGTATAGTAACACAGCTGCTGCCATTCATATTGCATTAACATTAAAATACTTTTATATGTATAGCTGTACTTTTGTGCCAGATTTAATTGGCCATTTTCACTTTGCAGCTCTCATATATGGTATCAAAGGGGCAAAAACATTGGCGCTAATAAGAACTGTTTTGATAGTGGTTCATTTAGATAATATTGCTATTTTGGCCCCTTCCTTTCTTTTGTTTCTTTGCTATTTTCATCCTTTTGCCCTCAAGCCCCTGTGCTCACCTTCTGCTCACATGGAGAGTGGTTTGTCTCTGACCTAAAAGTACAGCTCATCAAGATTCACTGAACACCTGCAAATGTATCTCCATGACGTTTGTGCACACATGCATTGTAAAAATATAACGAGGAGCATGTTTGTTACTACGGTCTTAGCACATCATCAGAGTCCTGATGTTATACTGAATATCATACAATTCTGCCACCAGCCTCTGTAAACTGTACATTAATTATGTGCAAAACAGCTAAGCACCATCTCTAATCTCTACAGAGTGAAAGCTATATTCATTTTTTAAGCACAGGTTCCTCCTGCTCACCAAGTAATTATCAAGTTCACCATTTTAATTGTTCATGTACATAACTTTTTTTTAGTTTTTCTTGACATTTCTAATCGTCTGTGTACATTTGATAGGTTGAATTGCTCTACTGCTTTTCTCTTCAGTGATGCTTTATCACTGGTGTTTGAGTGTCCAATCCTTTTTCTGGGTTGACGAACATGCACACACTCTTAAAATCACGTTCAATATGCATACACAAAGAGGCAAGATACATCCAGTCTTTTCTTTTTGTTTAAAGCAAAAACTAAAACGGACAAATCAAAAGGATGTAATTTATGGACATGAGTCTCTTTACCTGACATATTAGGTATGGTTATCATTTTATTATTGCACCAATGACTCTAAGCAGCTGGTGTGCTGTTGTTATTTAACAAGGGGATTTGCTCGTTTCTATCACTTTTCACTTCTAGCAGAGACCCTCAACTTATCCCTTTCTCGACCTCTTCTTTTACATTAACGCTTCTTAACATTTTGTACACGACAGTGTGCATTTTAAATAATGTACAGACCACATTTGAAGCACCCACTTAACACATTGTGACACAGACTGACCCAGTTCCAGTGGACCAGCTATGACCTCACACATGCTAACCAATGGCTGTACAGTTAATTGCCATTTGCTTACAAAGCTGTGTATTTCCGTTAGTACATTGTAAAGATGACCTTAATGCTTTAATGTTGTGCCACCATCTTTACTGCTCCACTGAACATTTAAAGGGGAATGTTTAACTGTGGCCTTTGCCATTATTCTATTTTTTTTTAAATCTTCTTTAGTATGCTCACATTTGGAAGAAGTGCAAAATGTTAAAGGTTGTTCAAAGTAAAGTTAAGCTTTTTTCTTTGCAGACATGCACTGTGAACATTGTTAAGTGAGAAGGCAATTACTTTAGCTGGTCCCATATTCTTCATTACATGCAGGGTTTCTAATTCATTGAGTCACAAAACTGAAAATGCCAGTTTCGCCTATCCAGTGACGTCACTTGTCGATAAGGAAACGAAAACGTATTAAAAAAAAATGGACTTGGCAACTCACTTTTATGATGAGATGCTTTAACTCCCTTTCAAGATTAATTTGTTTTCTGTATGTAGATGGACGATATTCTTTCCAAAGTTGCTGTATCTCCCCCAAGTGGCCATTTGGCTGAACTTCACCTCTTTAGGTCTGAGACGCACAAGTCTCCATCACTCATGTTTCCACATACCGACCTGCTGTTGGCGTATTCTTATGAGACAGATTACAACCTAAACATTTAAGTTCCCCCTCGTAACATTAAATACCATACTTTAAAACATGCATAAGTGTATATTTAACAGTCAACATTTGTTCAAATTACTTTTCAGAGTTCATGCATTTAGATACAGTTCTAAAATGTTTTCAGTACGTCCCTATTGTAGTTTTCACAAGATTAGACGATATGTGTCAGTGAGTCCACCATTAGCTTTAATTAAGATTTTTTTTTTAGGATATTTATTATTTACTTTGCCGTATAAAGTTTAATTTCCATTATTGACTTAGAGGTCTAAAAGATGAATGATTCGGGCTCTAAATGAATAGACTATATGCTGTAACCTCAGTAGATGTCTCTTTAGAGCTGAGTGCGTGGCTCCATAACGTTGAACATGACTCTGCTGGTCTGCCTTGTTGACTGTAGTAATGCTGCAGGTCTGTGAATTCGTGTAAAATTGTTTGGAGCTGCAGAGTGCTACAGGCGCACCTGAAGCTGATTCAAAAATAATAATTGATGGGACTTGTGTTTTTGCTTTACGTGACGTCTCTACCCACATTATAAACAGTTTCATCACTACTTGAGCATCGTTATCGAGCCTGTCTGGAGAACATGATCTGAATGTGCATGCTTTGTAGGGTTTTTTTTTTTTTTTAACTTAGAGCTACCTCTAACAATTGACACACAACGTGGTAGAGCTCGTGTTTTGACGCTCGCTCTGGTGTGGACATTTGGTTTTGAGCGAGCACGTTGTCTCGCGGCGGCGTCACTACGTCACAGCCTCTTGTCTTAATCCGTGCTTCCGGTGTTATGGCCGCTCGCAGAGAAAGGTTGACAGTGATGTGAGATATCTGAGAATGAATTCGTGGGTTTAGGCAGGCGTGTTTTTGGGGGATGGCGGTAGCACAGCTGTTTCGGCTGGCTGTCAGCCGATCGGCGGCTCGTGCCACACTTCGCGCGCACAGGAGGTACAGCAAGGTGCGCACGCTTGTTATTACTGCAGTACAGTAGCTTCAGCTAACATTAGCACACAGAGCATGATGTCTTCTGTCTGCAGCTGTGGTCACTGTTTATTTAAAGGAAACTACTACTGTGCTTTTAAAAGCAGGCTGCTCGTCTACTTAAATCATGGTTATCTCTGTTTCTCTATCTCCATTTATTGTCTGCCACATGATATAGATAGATAGAGGACATTTTTCACTTTGGTTTTGAAAAGACAGTTAATGTGATGTAGTGAATAAAACTGTTGAGTGAATGAGGCACACAACTTTACACCTTTCTCTTTCTCTCTCTTTGTAGTCATGTATATTTCCTTAATAGATTTTAATTATCAAGCTGGACTAGATGTCATTTGTGCATTTATTAAATTATGTTTTAATACATTAGGTATGACCCCAATTTATATTAAGAATATAGTATATCTTTATAATAATGCAGAGAAAGATAAAACACAAACTTACCAAAGTTCCATCATATTTTCTTTATGGTCTATCAGTATAAACTCAGGTACCAGTCTGTTAGGTACACTTGGTTATAACTAATGCAGCCCAGCAAACATTCCTACCTTTGCTGAGGTCACTGTGTGTGTGTGAGTGTGGTGCTGTTGTATTGTTTTTATCCCTTAATTACATCTCTTCTGTCCGGCTGCAGGTTTGTCCAGCTCTCTCCCAGCGACTGCAAGTGTTTGAGTCCCTTTGGGAAAAACGGTCCAATAAGAAGAGAGTTGAAGCCACAGACACACCACTCAGTATTCGACTGGCTGACGGCCGGAAAGTGAAGGGAACAGCTGGTGTCACCACACCTCTTTATGTTGCACAAAGTGTCCGGTAATTTTTTTTTAAATTACATTTTACTTACTTTATTATGCCCTGGGGAAAGTCTGTTTTTTACACTCTGTTATTGAGAGACATGCTTCTCACTCACATGGGTCCAAATTACACACAAGCACAAACGGGACCTGTGGAGATTCATTAATGGAGATGTCAGGTTCGGTGTCGTGAACAAGGGCAACTCGGCAGTGCTTGGGTAGTGCCCTCCCACCTCTTTATCTACCTGACCAACTTCCATATTTTGGTCCGCAATGGAACTTGAACTGGCGGCCCTCCCTACGGACTGAGCTACTGCCTGCCATTATTATAAATATATGATGTATACAGAAATGCAGTCTTATTTAACTTGGATGCATTTTTTGGATAATATGAGCCCTTTTCTTGCAGTGTGAAAGGAGCCCTGGTCAGCACAGTGAACGGGGAGTTGTGGGACCTTGGGCGGCCACTCGAGACGGACTGTGAACTACAACTTCTGGGGTTTGACACAGTGGAAGGAAAGCAGGTAATCACACTTGTAAATAAAATGTTTTTCTATAGTTTCATAGTTAAGGTGGTTTTCTACCAGCCATTCTTTATTGATTTAACTGGTTTCAGTAGTAAACCCCCTAGGGTAAAGGATTTAAAGATTTGCTTGTCATATAACAAAACAAGATGTCATACTAAAATAACTAGATGGATAATAACTGCTGGAACAAGTCATTTAATAGATGGCTCTTTGTTTCCTTGACCAAAGGAGATAGCTAACGATGTATTAGAGAATTTCCTTTTCTGTAATATAGGAGTTTACAGGTAATCTAGTCTGAATAGGGACCTTCCTTATCCAAACCACTGTTGAAAGTATGATTAGATGTTTACTCAACCAACCCTCTACCATGTCCCCTTTGTTAGGCAGCATGGAGGACAGGAGCCTGTGTCCTGGGCGCAGTGTTGGAGAGGGAATTTGATGCAGAGGTGTGCAGAGAAGGAGCGTCAGAGCTTGGGCTTTACTGTGATCATCTGTTGGACAACAGGTGAGATATGAAACTGGTGAACATGTTCAGATGTGTCAACATTTTTGACATGACATTTTAGTATCTTCTCGAAAACATTTGTATCCATTCATTAGGAGTGTAATCGTATGCAGTAGTCACACAGACTGTAAAAATATGGAGGTAGTCTCGGTTACAGATGTGCACGGTGTGCGTCCTACAATGGTAGTCACCGTACTATAAATGTTGTCTCAACCAAACTTATGGTCAACCTACTAACAGGCACACAGGTGCAGCTGAGGCGGGCCTTTAGCCGCCTGTCAAACAGATAGAGCATGCCTGCTTGAAGTCACACCAGACACACCCCTCAAGTGGACACCCGGGGGAACTGCAGTTTTTATTTCCACTTAAACATTGGCTTCATTTTTCAACATTAGAGGTCCCCACTTATTAGTACCTCTGTTTGGGGTCCCGGTTCAGTACAAGTTGGTCCGACAGGACAATGGATAATTCCAAGTTGCATCTTGCAATGTTACTCTTCTTCTTGTGGTTTGTTGCGCATTCTTCTTCTTCTCAATTTCTGTCTAAAAGCAGTTGGCAAAGAGTTATTAGAATTACCATTGCCATCAGGATTTGTGAGTGGATACTGCCATGTAATTCTCTCTGTTCTCCACTCAGATGTATTCTTAATACAACTGCATGCACCGAACTGTAATGTCCGATACAAATGCCGTTATAGCCCTACTTTTAATTAGTCTGTAATGCTATAATGAACCTCTTCTTCTGACAAGAAAAAACAATCTCTACGGAGAACTTGATCTGTTGTCCTACCCCCTAATCATCATCAGTCTTGTTTTCTTTCTGCATAACTGTCTGTCTTTCTCCCACAAATTCATTCGCTTTTCATTTACTCAAATCTGTCCTCCCCACACAGTGTCCTGTCTCTGAGTGATGTGGAGGACAGATGTAAACAGACTGCAGCCCTCAAACTCCCTCTGTCCAGACTGGAGCTGAATACAGACGACATCCGGGAGCTGTTCCAGGTCAGCAACACCAGTGTCTCTGTTGTAACAATACACTCATGATCGTGTCTGAAATCTTTCACTCTATCACGGCTCCCATCTCACTTACTGTGGGACTTTCTGTGCAGAGGACTTCGTAGTGAGTTCAACAGCTAAATACATTTTTGCTGTGGATACATTTTTTTTAATCTTGTATTCATGGAGATAAATCCTGTCCCTAACTTCCTGCTGTCCATAGTAAACTTTTATATGATCATTGTTGATCATTGTTATGATTATTGTTGTTATTTTGATTGTAGGACAGTAAGCTCAGACTGCAGCTCTTGGAGGAGCAGAGTCATGGCCCCATTGTCACAGTATACAGGTATGTATTTCAATAATATGAGTGTGTGATAACTTATTACACTCATTCCTGAAGTGAATTGATCTGTTATATTCCTCTTACTTTTGGAAAAATTATTAAATCCGTTTGATCTCTCTGATTTGACTCAGGCTTGGGGACAGCATATCAGTCTGCAGCGGCCCCCTTCTCCCACACACTGGCCTCCTCAAGGTCTTCAAGATGCTCCAGGTGTGTGTGTGTGCATGCGTGCGTGCGTGATGTGTATTCTCCTTCTATTCTCTCCTGTCATTCCCTTTCATTTTGTCTGCCCTACTGCTCAGTTTAAGGATTAATGGCAGGTCTCTTGAAAGACAAATCCTGATTAAGATAATATATTTTGATTTTGATGATGCTTATTCACCAGGACTTTAAAAAAGAGATTCAAAATGTATTTCTTAGGATTTTTTCTTCAAATGTGTCAATCAAAGATGTAGGGTCACTACAAATATTTCAAATATTTCAGTTTGGACCAACTGGGCACCATCCATCCGGTTAGTCCACATCCATTAGGGTACATGGAATTTCCTCATCGTTATTGATCCAGAAAGAGAGAGTTTCCATACTGGGCTGTCACTGGGCAGACATGGATTCCATGGCAGGCAGGCTGGAAATATCAGCAGCAGGATGTTGTGTTTGTCAGAGGCCAGATTCCTGTTCTCAGCCTTTACAAACACACTGCCATCCATCAGTCGTGCTGCTATCACCCCTTCCTCTTCTGGCCTCACTCTCCCTTTCTTTTCCTCCACCTCTTTTGTTTGCTCTTTATTATTCTCTCTTTCCCTTGCCTCCCCCACTTATCCTCCGTTTCATCCTAGCTGTCTGCCGTGACCCTGACCAATCAGACGGAGTCCTCAGGTTTGACGCGTCTTTTAGGTGTGGCCTTTCCTGGCGAGAAGGACAAGGAGGTATGGGAGAGGGAGCAGGAGGAGGCGAGAAGGAGGGACCACAGACGAATTGGGGCGGTGAGACAAAGAGATGCATAACTGAAGTTTGATATAAGGATAGAGATGTGTGTGCGGGTCTTTAAATGTATCTTTTTCCATGGTTTTCTAGGACCAGGAGCTGTTCTTTTTTAATGATGTGAGTCCAGGGAGCTGCTTCTTCCTGCCTAAAGGAGCCCACATATATAATACCCTCACTGACTTCATCAAGGTGAACATAACATATTACATCATCTCTGTCACCGACTCTTTATAAATCGCAAACAATAATCAGACGCAATAATTAGTTTTATGTGAGAGTATTTTATAGAGACACGCTGCATATGCATCTTAATGAACTAAACTGAAGTTGATTATAAAAGCTCAAATATGACCTGAGCTATCTTTATTGGGAATGTAGAAAATTGAATGCCGTCCACATAAACATCCATCACACACAAACACAATTTGTTAAATGCTTTGTCCCCACATTACATGTTGTGTGTTGATGCATCCTGGGGGTCTAAATGTTCCAATCAGCTGTCAGGATATTGCTCTTGTTAGCCTTCAATTATCGTACTGTTGTGACAGTCTGCCCCCCCAGTCCTGCACTCATTGTCGCACATATCCTTCCTTCCTGTCATCTTGTAGAGCGAATACCGAAGGCGAGGCTTCACCGAGGTCGTGACCCCGACTCTGTACAGCACTGCATTATGGGAGCGCTCTGGCCACTGGGAGCACTACAGTGAGAACATGTTCACTGTGACATCAGAGGGCGCTCAGACCTACGCTCTCAAACCCATGAACTGTCCTGCACACTGGTGAACACACACGCACACACACACACACACACACACACACACACACACACACACACACACACACACTACTACTACCATTCCTCTACTTGTGTCAGGTATGTGACAAGCAAAGGACTTGCCCCCCCCCCCCCCCTTGCAATTTACTTACGTATGTTAGGTTATAAAATCTGGAATTCCTGATAAATCCAGAAGAATTACATCCCTGCTGTGTACCTCATAGTATCTAAACAGTGTCTCCCTCTCCTCTCTTGTGATCAGTCTTATGTTTGAGCAGCGTGTTCGCTCGTGGAGGGAGCTCCCCTGCGATGGGCCGACTTTGGGGCTCTGCATCGTAACGAGCTCTCTGGCGCACTGGGTGGCCTCACTCGTGTCCGACGGTTCTGCCAGGATGACGCTCATATCTTCTGCACACCTGAGCAGGTAAATACACCCCCGCTTAAGAGCGTGCATACATTGTTTTGTTTTGAAAGGACCCTTCTCTACACCTCTGCATACTTCTGGCCGTGTTGTGAGAGGAGTATGATTCGCGAATTGGACACATGTGGAGCCATATTACTGTGATTAGATGGGTTGTTCAAATAACTCCTGAGACATTCCAGGAGGCCTCAGCTTGAATGAATGAAGGTCTTTGTCTGTTCAAACATTACACCTCCGTATGTGCATCTCGGTGGCTCCGCAGTCTGTGTAATCCTGATCACAACACCCTTGCACTCCTCCTTCTGTTGACCTGTTAAAAACCTGATCAAATCACAGGATAATCCTTACTATGTTCGCTTCTGAGATGCTTATTTCATCTTTGGAGGTTACAGTAAATACATAGATTCGTTGATTCATTCTTCTAAGAATCCAAACCAAATGTATTAATAAAACACATTTCAAAACAAGTTTCCCGCTCCAGGTGGATAATGTGTTACTTAATTATTTACATTATTGCGTCGCCTTGTTTCCCTTGTCTTCAGCAGTTTCTTTTTTCTTTTTTCTTTCTTTCTTTGCAGCTGCAGGAAGAGATTGTGGCATGTTTGGACTTTGTGAGGAGCGTGTATCAAGTATTTGGTTTTTCCTTCCACTGCCTCTTGTCTACTCGTCCTACGCCGTGCCTAGGGGAGCCTGAGCAGTGGGATAACGCTGAGCAGGTAAACCATCACTCACATTCTTGTATGCCACAGTCAAATGGCCTATAAATACATATAACAGGGTGTGGTTCATCACTGCCTTGGAAAATCTTTAAACAAATGACATTGTGCGATGATGTCCATTTAATCACTCAGCTCTATGAGGGGTACTTTCCAGCAGCAATCTGCTCTTTACCAGGCTCCTGGGCAGATTCGTGCCTCTAATTCCCATTGGATGCCTTTCAAATTGCCGACACAGCAGCGTTTTCAGCGAAGTCAATTGAGTGTAATTAAACATAATGGCTCCGAGCTCCCACAGCTCCTTAATATACACACATAAAGACCAACATGACAGTGTGTGTGTGTGTGTGTGTGTGTGTGTGTGTGTGTGTGTGTGTGTGTGTGTGTGTGTGTGTGTGTGTGTGTGTGTGTGTGTGTGTGTGTGTGTGTGTGTGTGTGTGTGTGTGTGTGTGTGTGTGTGTGTGTGTGTGTGTGTGTGTGTGTGTGTGTGTGTGTGTGTGTGTGTGTGTGTGTGTGTGTGTGCAGCAGTTGGAGAGGAGTCTGCAGCAGTTTGGTGAACGTTGGGAGTTGAATCCAGGAGACGGAGCTTTCTACGGACCAAAGGTCAGCACAAAGGGCAACATGCATGAATGAAACTGATTTCCACATACCAAGTGTAAACATCATTTAACATAGCACTTGCTAAAAGCCAGCAAAACACATTGGGAACTATCAAACTTTTATTTTGAAAAGTCCTTTGATGCTAAAAGCCACTTACAAACATCCATATGTGAGCTAGGATATGGCGTTCTGAGCACTGAAGTACCTGTTTTTATTTCCATGCAAGAACTGTTAACTATAATAAACAACTCATTTAGTGATCGCATTAAATGACAGTTAACCATATACCGTGAACAACAGCCATACACATGCTGACATGTTGACAGCTCCGTAGACCTAAACTCCTGTGTAGAACTTAAATGAAAATGAAACGGGGGTCTCTTGTTTTAGATCTCTCTCTCTCTGTCTCTTTGTCATCACAGCAGTTTGGTCTAGATGTGCATGATCACATTAGTGATTTTTAATTGATGTGTTATTCCATAGCCTGATTTTGTGAACAAAATAATATTCTTACTGGTCTGAATCAACTATGTCTTTGTTCAGATCTGATTAAAACCTTGTTTGTAGATACAGTAGGTCCCAAATAAGGGCAGGTTAAGGTCATAGATTGGGGCATATAATAGCTTGCACTATTCATTGAAGATGTACAGTCACTCTGTATGCTAATCAAGCCAATCAGTTGCTATTTGTAGCATGACAGTTAATTTGCAGATGCAAGGTTGGTATCTATTTTCTCATCTTAACTCTTAGATTGAAAACACCTCGGCATGCGTAAGTTTAACCCTAAACAATCTTATTTAGATCTTAACTGTAGAAACCTCTTACACCAGTTTATTAGCGTAACAGCAAAGATAAGATCAACACAGAGGTCTTTGTTTCTTTCTGGTGATAAACAAATACATTTTGAGCTCTAAATGACACAGTTCACACTGTCCCAGACCACAGGAACAGCTATAAAAACAGAAATGTGCTAGCTGTACTTGCACTTTATGACGGTTAAAAAGTGGCTGAACTTGAGAATGACCTCAGTTTTCTTTGAGGCGATCTTCGGTTTCTTGTTTACTCGTGCAACAAGTCATTTAGCATGAAGAGGAAGTCAGCAGTCATGATCAAGCTCATGTGGAGGCACAGAGAGTGGAGGTCAAATCAGGGTGGGGTTAGACACACTTTAACAGCACCATGAAACGAAAAAAACATTCCTTACTGCCATCTAGCTAGGGTGTGTTAGCCACAATTAACTAGATCAGCTTCTCCCCCCCTAAACTCAACTGCAACCCTTTCTGTCCACAAAAATGCTGTTTGTCCCCCAGCAGCGTTTTGGCGTCAAAAGTCTAAATCATATTTGTAGATTTTGGCAGTAGAGTAGAGAAGTGAAGCCCTAATGTAACCCACTCTTGCATGTTTCCTAACAGATTGACATCCAGATAAAAGATGCAATTGGAAGACAACATCAGTGTGCCACGATCCAGTTGGACTTCCAGCTGCCAATCAGATTCGACCTTCAGTATGTTCGGTGAGTCATAAACTTCTGCTTTTGGCTTTCAATCACTTTAGCATTCCTACATCTGCATTAAATCTGCATACTGGCACATTTGAAGCTAGTTAGAGTTACCCACATATACTCCCTGTGTATGATGTCTTTTAACCACTCAAGTTGAAATGAGGTCTAACTTCATTAGGAACCAAGTTTATCATCAAAGATTATTCCTTGGATTGAATTTATGAGTTCAGGCAAGGATGCATCTAAGCTTGTTTTGGATGTTATAAGTTTAATCTACTTCCCTCGTGGTCTCCTGTTTTCACTTGTTTTGGCCATTCAAATTCAAATCCTGCATCATGGTGTAACAAATGTTTTTATATCAACAAAACTCATTTAAAAAATGTGGTAAGAATATTTTTAGAAAATATTTTCAAAACACCAAAAAATGGGGCGCTGGTGGCCTAATGGTTATTTTGCACGCTTTATGTACTGAGGCCTCAAAGCAATCGTCAAAGCTGTCGTCCTCAAAGCCGGTCTCAGGTTTGAATCCGACCTGTGACCTCTTCCTGCATGACATTCCCCACTCTCTTTCCCCCGATTACTGACTCTATCCACTGTCCTGTGTCTCCAATAAAGGCGTTAAAGCCAAAAATATACCTTAAAAACAATAGATATTAAATGCAGAACATCAAAGCTTGATTTTGTAAAGTGTCATCATGATCTAATCATCTCAGAGATATTAAAGGAGAAATGCTATGTTGAGTAATCTGACCATCCAACACAATATATTACATCATATTGTAACTGGTTGCCATGTTGCCGGGTCGCTAGTTAGATTAAGGACTAAAAATACTGAATTAAGTGTATAATTTGGATTCAGTATTGATTTTAAGATTCAACACTCAGCAGCTGTTTTCACTGCATCTCCAAAGAAAGTGAAATGAAGGAACTACGTTCATGTGTGGCCGTGTGTCTGTGACGTGCATGGCTGTGTGAAAGGTGAGCCATTGGCATCCAGTCTATCGGGGTCGTGATGAGTGAGTGAGAGCGCTACATGCAATGATAATCTTTTTTCTTTTCCTTTCTCTCAGTCGAGATGGACAACTGCACAGGCCTGTGATGATCCACAGAGCCGTGCTGGGATCACTGGAGAGAATGATCGCCATACTGGCTGAAAACTTTGGAGGCAGATGGTGAGAAGACGTCATGTCACCAACACGGAAATGATGCATTTTATCAAGCTATTAAACCATCACTACGTTCTTTTCCCTTACCCAGGCCACTGTGGTTGTCCCCAGCACAGATCATGGTGGTTCCTGTAGGGGGCAACAGTGAGTCATACAGCCAGCAGGTCAGTCGTGATGAAGATTTCCCCACATAAGCATACCAAGTGTACTTTCTGTCCATCAGTATTAACATACTCATTGATGTGAGAAGCTCAGCATAGATATAATCTTAAAAATAGTCCCTCTCTTTTCTTAAGGTGGTCCGGCAGTTCCGTGAAGCTGGCTTCATGGCAGATTTGAATGACGACCAGGGCGCCACCTTAAATAAGAAGATTCGCTCTGCTCAGCTGGCCCAGTACAACTACATATTTGGTAAGAATGAATAATAGGATGAAAACTGTGGCTGCTTATTATAGTAAAGCCGGTCACTTGTGTATTTCTTTAAGTCAACCACAAAAATTCACACTCCAGAATGATTTCCATTGACTTATTTATTTGTGTGTGTTTGTTCAGTGGTGGGAGATAAGGAGGTTGAGAGTGGGACAGTGAGCGTGAGGAGCAGATCGGGTAAGCAGTTGGGGAGGAGGCCGACAGAGGAGGTGATGACATCCCTCACAGAGCTTCGAGACTCCAGGAGCAACTCAGACGAGTTTTGATGAAAACATCCTGAAAAACCTGAGTCACTGATGTTATAAATGTTTGTTTTGCATATACAAGCTGTTATACTCGTGTCTAAAGAGGAAGTGGCTGATATTTGTAATAAAAGTCTAAAGTAAATGTTCCTTACTTGTTGATTTGTGCATTAACGGGATTAGCGGATAATTCTGTGTCCTTAAAAGTACAGGGTGGGGATATGAGGCTATTTTAAGATCATTATCCATCTATTATCAGCATTACACAGCTACAGATGCAATTTGTTCGCTTAAACCCTTTAAATATGTGAAGCTCCAGCTTACGTAAGTGTGTGTCATGATGTCAGATTAGGAAACCAGGCATACCTTTAAAAGCCTGGAAGAAAGGGAGGATACGGAGGGGGATTTGACTAAAATAGGAGAGGGAACAGGCGTGACAGGGATGTGTGTTTTCATGTGTGTTTTGTGGAAACAGCCGAGTCAAGGTACGGGTCAAAAGGATTTGACATTTTTTCTTTTTAATTGAGAGAGGGCAGCGGGATGGAAAAGACATCAGTCAAAACACAGACACAGGGCGAGGGAGAGAGGTAGGCGTCTGCTCTGTAAGACTGGACTAAAGCAAGCAATTCAACAAAGCACGTTGTGAAACAGGTGGAATTGAGTGTGTGTTTAGTTCTAACAGATCATCAAGTATGCTAAAGAGGAAAGGTGAGGCAGGTTCATGGGAGAGCCTGCTATACACCAGAAAAAGGGTGAATCGGAGTTCAATGAATCGTTCTTAGTCAAGTTCAGAATTGACAGACAAAAACTGAATGTCTATCTTTCAAACCACGCGTTAGTTCTCCAAGGAGCTTTAGTGTAGAAGAAATGCAACTGGAAATCCTGCTTCTTGACAGGCTAAAAAAGGGAGAAACCAGAGGCTCCACAGTTTGGTGATGAAGGGTCAGTTCACCCAAATAAAAAAAAAATGGTATTTTCTCTTCTCATTGAAGCATACCGGTTTGTGTTTGACATCTGTTTCAAGATAAATAGGATTTCAACCAACACCCTTATGAAAGGGAGGCAGAGGGGGAAAGTGTTGAATAATTGAACAAGCGTGAGTTTTAAGATCTTTATCAGGCTGTATGAGCCTTCATGCTCGTACAGTTTGGCAATTAAATACAAGGGCTGTTCCTCAAGGCCATGCACTGAAAGAGAGTCAACGAAAGGCTTCCCGCTTCAAGGACTTTAGCCTCAGCTTGTGGCCTACTAGTTTTTAGATTCAAACTCACACCCTTACATTTCTAGCTTGATATAATAATGTAATTCAAACTGCATTTTAAAGATAGAACTCATTTGTTCTTTTAGAATCTGAATACCAGAGGTAGCGCTAACAAACCTCTCACGATGGAAGAGAACATACGATTACTTTCCACTCTCCTCTTAAGAACACTGAAAGGATCAAGCTAACATGCTCAGAGTGGTATGCTAATGCTACCATGCTGATGTTTAGGCGATATTTATTAGTTTAACATGCGTTTACCATCTTAGTTACTTTAGCATGTTAACTAGCTCGTATTTTATAGTTAGCACTAACCATAGCTGTACACCTACGGCTTAGTTGGCAAGTGTTGTATTTAAAGTATCTCATCCTGAACCAAGTAGGACCTTTGTTATCCTATCTTATGATAAGAAGGAAAGGGAAAAGTTAAGAGTTATCCTAAAAGATGCTTAAATAACAGTTAGCTGTGAAGTAAAAATGTCAACCTGCTGTTGGTGTTTAAAATAAAAATAAAAAGACTGTGTGGTCACCAAAGTAAGAAACATTGATCATTTTGTAGCATCAATGTTTTTACAAAATATCAGTGCAACACATCCCGTAGCTATTCTTAAGCTATGTCAGCCCTGATCGAAGTAATGGAATGCCTAAAATTGCTGGACAGATATTCCCAGGAGGCATAACGCTAGCGTAGAAAAACATTAAACAGCAGCATCTATGTGCATAAACAAGAGTTCACATTACTTTAGAATTCCTGCACAACTGAACGACTGTCGGTGGGATAATAGTCACATTGAAATTGTTCTCCAGAGATGTAAGAAAGTATGTTTTCTCTGAATTTCTATTAAGAATATGATGTTGTAAAAATACAGTCCTCTAAATGTATTCTTGATATCATACCATGTAAAGTATTTATAGCACAACTTGATGCCAGCCTGAGCTCTAATTCTGCCATCGGACTTGTTTTAAATAAGAAGATAAAATGTGGCCCAGACAGCCCAGCGACCAGCCAGCATTGCACAGTTGTTGCGTAGTGATGACATAGACCATTAGCTCCAGTAAACACTACCATCTTTACTTTATAGATAACAAAGTCAGGCACCCTGAGCCTTCTGTGCTTCCCACTCTCTATGCCTACTATCTTTTCTTTGACTACAAACACACACATGGGAACAAACACACACACAAACACACCCACACACACACAAAGCAATCCTTCATTCAACTGCTGTGCTGGAGTCGCACAGAGTTCATAGGAAATTATTTTTAGCTAAAGGGGGTTACCAAAAAAAGAAAGCTGCTGTTGGGGCGGCTAAAAAGTTTTTTTTCCTGAAGGTACATAGTAAGACAATAAAGAGAGTTTATTGAAGGAGGGATAGATGAATATCTACATCATGAGAGAGAAGTAGGTCCTCATGGGAACAGTATGAAGAACAGTCCGTCTAATAAACATTGAAAGGCCCTTACTGCCCCTTTACTTTAGTGATACTTTAACATGAACTAGTTTCTGTGACAGTTTTATTTCTTTAAGAGAGATAGTTTCTGTATTTATTTATGTTCTTCATTGAGCTCTTCTTACTCTTGAGTAATGGTTGGAGAAGGCGATGCAGCATATTTGATGTACCATCAGGATGTACCAACATTTAAATCAGATTGTCCTCATTCATAGTCTTATCTTTCAAATGTCAAAAAAATAGAGGTGAATGCTCAAGTCTTTGTCCTCAAATGCCTTTAAGTTGTTCAATCAATCAACCAAAACCTAAAAACACACTCATTTTATTCTATACTTTAACATTAAACATGTCCAGAATGTACCCTGCCTTTTGCCAGCTGGAATCAGCTCCAGACCACTACAACCCTGAAAGAGAAAAGCAGTATTAGGATGTGTGGACTAGTATTGCAGTACTCGAAACCTTCACGAAGGTCTCAGTCTCAGACTGGGCGGACTCCAGATTTGAAATCGCGTATCACTCACAAGACCCTAACACCTTCCTGATGGTACGGCCTCAGTGAGTGATACGCCCCCTACACACAAGATGATCATTTTACAGTGATATATATGGTGTTGGTCTTGTCTCTGTCTCGTCCTACCTTGGTCTTGGTCTTGGTCTTGACTAGGTCTCGATCCCTAATTGTCTTTGTGGTCTTGACACACTCTGGTTTCGGGTTCGATATGTCCTGGTCTCTGTTAGTGTGGTCTTGACTACAACACTAGTAAGGACTTTATCATTTTTTGACATTGGCAGATTTGAAGAAGATCTTACTAGAAAATGTTAATAGTTTTTCCATAAAGAAATATTTCAATTAATAAATATTCAATATAGTTGATCTATGCTTGTTTAGTTAACAAGGGCAGAATTTGGGGGGGGGGACTCTGATGTTTTAGGGTTTTCAGGGGCTTTACGTTTAAACTACAATGACAAACGTAGCATTAAATTGGCAGAAATATTTCCTTTTACCAACATATTTTTGGAGCCTGATAGTTATTGTTAAGTGAGCGATTTCGTAATCACTGCTGTCCTGGAAGTCCAGTTTTTCCCAGAGGGAGGCAGGGGGACGGTGACCCACGGGGGAAGGCAGAGCCGAGCAGACTGGCCGCAGGAAGATAAACAGGCTGCTCTGTATTGTTCTCCTGGTATCACAGAGAAACTGTCAGCCTGACTGATTGAAGGCTCAACCTTCCCAAAATAGGCCCTGTGAGGCTGGGCTGCGTCGCCCTTCCACCCTATTATAAATAACCCCCATGTGTGTTTGTGTGTGTGTTGGTGCCTTTAATGTGTGTTTTAGAGTATGGGCAAAAATGTGTGTATGCAGAGAGAGAGAAATGTGATCAGTGCCAAGGCAGTCCGAGAAAGTAAAGCCACCGAAAACAATAACAGGAGGTCTGTGGGGCTCAGTGCCAAACAGTGACAGAGAAACCACGGTCAAGACCCTGCACTGACCTCACCTAAACACACACACACGCACACACACACACACTGATTTGGACTTAAAAAGAGTAATAGTACACTCTTTTCCCTCCAATTTTAAGGCAAAAGTCCGACTCTGAATGCATGCGTCGAGGCCAATAATGTTTGGACAGGAGCTCGTAAATGACCACCTGAGGGAATCATGTGGGCTGTTTGCTCTGTTCCACAGGTGTGCCAGGGGTAACTGTTTTTCATGCAAATATTCAACAGCAGGACAGCACTTAAACGCACCTACAGTAAGAGCTCACAACACAGCTCTCTGCAGGTGGGCGGGGGCTCATTTGCTTGTTTACAGCACCAGGCAACAATCACACAAAAAAACGTCCTTCTTTGATGCGGAATGAAGCTGTCAGAAAGCTTTCTTCTTCGACCCCAAAACCTCAGCCCACCCGCACTGCCTGGCCCTGCTCAGCTCTTATTACCACCCGCCAACTCCCTCGTCTTCTCTACTTTCCTGTTTCCCCTCACTCTACTAGGTCCAGTAACTCCTCTCAGCTCAGCCCAAACTCTCCGTTTATACAAAGAGTTTTTGGGCATGTTGTTTCTTATTTGATCTGGCTGCTCTTTTGGACCGCCTAAAAGTCTCCACTTTAAATCCACATGTAAGCAGTGATTCACCTTTGATTCTGATGTGTGCTTGCACTCAGCTTTAGATGAACTTAAAAGCGATAGATGTTCCAGCATGCTGAGCTGGTGGCTGTGCTGTGTGAAGTCCCACTCACAAAGACACACAGATAAGTTATAACTCTTCACAGTGGTGTACAGTCTCTGCCTGGCCCCAGTATGCTCCCAAGTATGTCTGCTATGCTCCACACACTGCTGACCTGATTTCCTATCGTGCTCTCATGAGAGCCGGGTTACCTCGAGAGAGAGAGAAGAGGGAGCAGACTGAGGCCACAGAGAGAGAAGCTTCTTCCAATCAA